GCCTGGTTGGCACTGCAGCCCAGCAAATATCAAGCCAGTCTGTGTGAGAGCTAGCCTGGAGCACAAGGAGTAAGGCCCTGAAGCGCCACTGCCAGATTCCTCCATTCAAATATCATTTCTAGTGCAGGAGTAGGCAATTCAAGGTCCCCCGGATGTTTTGGCCTACAAAACATACTCCCTCACCATTGGCTTTGCTAGCTAGGCCTGATGGGAGCTGCAGTCCAAAACAGCAGGTATGAGTATAGGTTGCTCTAGTGTCAGGCTCCCTGTTCTGAATCATGGACATCAAGTGGACTCACGGATCCTGTGTGCTATTTCAAGCAAGAGATGAATAAATAATACATTTATTGTGTTTCTATACTGCCTAGTAGCTGAAGCCCCCTGAGCTGTTTAGAACAATACTCAAAATGCACTAAAATTCAGATAATAATTTAAAAATTCACTCTAAAATTTAAAACCCATTTCAAGCAACTGTAGCAGCTAGCGAAGGTTAAAACAGCAAGACCTGCTAAGCCACTGAGATAAACACCCCATATACTATTTAGACCTATTAAATGCCCCATCACAAAAGATGCTCTTAACCTGGCACCAAAAGGATGGTGAAGCTGATGCTAGCCCAGCCTCAGTGCCACAAGCTCCAGGTTCCATTGCTGACATCACCAGGTAGGACAAGGAAAGACCTCTGCCTGAACGTACAAGACCCACTGCTACTCAGGGTCAACAATGCAGGGTCAAATGGATCAAGGGCAGGCTGTTTCCCAGATTCCCAATCTATTCCTTGGTAGCAGTTCCTTCCCTAAAATGTGGAATGACTGGCTTCACTCTTGGCATTACAAGCTGACTTTTGTCTGCTAGCCAACTGGCAAGAGCGGCTCACATCCTGGCTAGTTACAACCATCTTCCAGCAGGAACCTGTGTTTACTTTGCCACATAGCTGCTAGAGTTATGAAGGTAGCACATGAAAGCAGGCGGCCCACAGCTTAATTTCAAGTTGCCAAGCAACCGCACATCCACCAGCAGAGCACGTGCAGTGACCAGCAACTCACAAGGCCCCAAGCACCGAGCAGGATTGTGTTCACAGCGCTCCGTAAACAAGATTGTCGCGGGCCACACATCTAATGATGCTTAATTAATACTCCTGCCAAATCAATTCTAAAAACAGCCTCCTTCTTAATTAGAGCCCTGCCAAGTGGAAGACAGTGCCACCGCTATCTTGGTGCTTGCTGAGTTTGGGAGGTGGAAGCAGGGAAAGAAATGGTCAAGGCAAACCTCCGACAGCAATTACTGTGTGTTTGGACTAATTCACAAGCAGATGGCGGCACTTACGTGCCAGTGAAGGAGGACTGTATGTTACTGTCAGCAGGATGAATACAGCGAGTGTGTCATGCAGGGACTAGCTTTTAATCGGGAAACCTGAGCCAAAGAACTTCCCCAGTTAGAGTTATTCTTTTTGACTATTTGTGCAGCGCCATCAGCATGGAGGCTGGCTTATTAAATTATGGAAGCAAAACAGACAGATAGCTGCCCTCTGGACAACACAAACACATTTTGTTGCCCATGGTGGAACAGCGCGGGCCCCTAGCACACACCATCCATCACGATGCCGTACTCGTCAAGGTCTTTTGGCAATTGAGGTAGAACATTCCTGTCCCCGCCACTCTTACAGCGGAAAAGGAACAGGAAGGGGCAAAGGAGGCAAGAGCAAGGGCGGGGGAAAGTGCACAAGTGCCTTTTCAAGCTTGGTTACAGCCCTCTATTGCCATCATATCATTTTTGCCTCAAGGTGACACGCTCCAGGCCAGAGCTGGGAAGGAAGATGAAGGGCACCATCCTAGGCAAGCTAAGACAGAAAAAAGGCCAACCATTTCCAGCATGCCCAAGCCAGCAAAGTTTGCGGAGCATCCTAGGAGTTGTCAACCTTATTTTATGTTTAAACTTGCACAGAATTGCCAAGCAGAAATGGTGGCTTTACAGAGAAGAGATCTGAAGGAAGGAAGTACATTCTTAGAGAGGCAACTGGCACTTGCAGCCAAAAAGAACGAGAACCTGCATTTAAGGAAGCAGAAGACTTTGAGTCAACAGAAGATGGTGGAGCTGGAGAAATGGAAAATCACTGGCAGAGGCATGACAAGAGAAGAGAGCAATTGGGTCAAGAGAGCAACTGGGCCAATGCCACTGCACTCTGAGAAGTTCTCAGGGCTACATTCCAGGGGAGAAAGCCCTGGTATTTTCCCAGATGGAGCCATTGTTTGCTACAGAAGTCTTGTGTATTCTCTCAGTTCTGCTCTATACCACAGCACCTCCTTGTGTTATGCAGCAAAATACACAGGAATATAAAGAAAGGCAGAGAGGAAAAAACCCGGAAAATACCCCATGTGAGGAAGCTCTAATCTACTCACAAAGAAGACAGAAGATGCTTCAGTAAAGCACCAGGTACATCATTTAGAGAAGCCCCAGATGGACTTTCACGACATCTCCTGTGCTGCTCTTACACTGATAGTCACCCAGTCTCTGAGGCTGCTGTTTGGTTTAAAAAAATGAAGTGCTGGGAAACAGCTCACCTGTCTCTAGTCGGACTCATAGTATTACCTGGTAATGACTCTCCTTGGAAATGGAGCATTTGTAAATTCAGAATTGCAGGCACATTGCCAAGACAGTGCATTTAAACATAGGCATCTGGGGATGTATGTGTATAAATTTTGAACTTACAGGCAGTTTGCAAAGATGCTTCAACAAGACGCTGTATTTAAATGCAAATGTCCTCTGAGGGAATGTATATGTGGTGTTACCAGTTCCAGAAAACCTACAGAATTGCTGTTTTCTCTTTTGGGGAATTAATTTACCAAAAATCCAATTTGGTAATGAGAAAGATTCAACCAACCAGTCCAATGTCTATGTAAATCTAAAAGTATGCAGAGGTGGCGGTGGTGGGGATAAATATTGATGCAGAAAGGTTTTTCAGAGGATATTCACTGCTGTTGCCCTCAGGCCTCCTGTTTGAGGCAAATTACTCCTTCCTGTATAATTTACAATTTGAAGTGATCCCTACAAAAAGCACTAAAGCTCAGACCTGGACATGGGCTGCTGGCACTTGCATTCATGAGGGAGTGAATTCCACTGACTTCAGTAGAAAGCAGTTCTGAGTAGGCCTGTTTAGAATTGCTCCGTCCCGTCTAGGCATTTCAAAATCCACAATCAGGCAATAGTTTGGGGGAAGATTTTCTTAAATACCGTCACTGATCCCTTTGTTCTATGTGCAACTGTTACGAGGGCTTTCAGACGACAACAGCTTCTCTAGCACCAGGAAGGCCAAAAAGAGAAAGCTAAGCAGGAAGACCCTCAAGGAAGAGGGATGCTGCAGCATGAAGCTCCCAAAGAGGGGGTGGAGTGCCTGGGCTGGGAGCGCTTGCATCCAGGTGTGTGTGGCCATACCCCCTGATGTCAGGCGCTGCCCCTTAGGCCATGTGGTCTGCAAAAGGGCCTTCTCTGCAGTGGCGCCCAGACTATGGAATACGCTCCCCAGAGAGGTCCACCTGGTGCCGACTCTACTCTTTCTGGTGCCAGGTAAAGACCTTTTTATTTAACCACCATCGTAAAAATTAATATCATTACTTTTAATAATATTAATTTTGTACAGTCACATTTTCCTTTTCTTCTTATTTATTTATTTATTTATTTAGGAAAAAGATATATTGTTGATTTTGTTCTATTGTTGACTGTTTTAATGGTATTTATATTATTATATTGTTAATTATATAGTTATTTTTATCTTCTGTAAGCCGTCCTGAGGCTTGTTGCAAAGGACAGCATAGAAATGTTTAAATTAAACTAAACTAAACTAAACTAAATTAATTAAAAAGGCTGTGGAGGAGGGCAGGGAGATTATCCATTCTGTACTCTTGAAATACGTCCTGCATGCCCGCTTTAGAGCTTCAGCGGCTGGTTTTGCATAGCATTCACTGCTCCACATGTACCAATCAATTAGTCCATTTGATTTAGGAGCACGGTCTAGGAACCTGTGCCCCTCTAAATGCTGCTTAGCACTGATTCCCATAATACCAAATCAGCACAGGCAACTGCCAGGAATAATGGGAAATGTAGTCCAGTAACCTTGGCAGGGTCATCGTTTCCCTACATCTGCAGTAAGACAAACAGTACAGCTCTCAAGCGGCTTTCAGGGATCACACACAATTTTTTCTGAAAGTATCCTATGGAGATCTTTCACAGCTGAACTTGCCAAGAGCAAAGTGGAAAAGGCTCTGATTAAACTATGTAAGATTGTAGACCTTTACAAGTGATTGTGCCTGGTGTTACATAATACATGCCTCTGTATATTTTCTTCTAAGTGTGTTTTCCTTAACAAATAATATACTGGTTTAAGAACCTGGAAATTTGGCTTTGGAAAGTTATTGGATTTCAGATGCCTGGGAGCTGGGACCAGTATAGGAATGAGCCGTCAGTCCTGCTAGGCCAGAAACAGGCCCCAAACAAGCAAGATCACATTCCAGAGCAGCCACAGAGTGGAGTGGGACCTTCACAGGCAATGCTTTTGCCCAAGGAAGAAATGACTCAGACTGAAGAGCGAGCACCAACGCTATGGCTTTGGGGGCCTGCTTGCCTTTGGGTGAGGCTGGCACTGCGGACTAGCCGGGTACCCTGGGGCTGCTCAGTCAGCAAGGCCTACGGGGGAAGTGAAGCACTGGTGAGCCTTGGTTAAAGCTATTTCCTGGTACGACTTGGTTAACACATCTGTTCATCACATCTGTGAAGCATGCAGACCGAGTCTATGTATTTATTAATAAGACATCACTTAATATAATAAAATCTCTAAGTGGTTTATAATTTTAATTTCCCAGTGCATGTGGAGAATTGGGGGAAATCCACCATATAATAAGATTTATGCAAACACCTTTCAAGGTGACATCTTCCTCAGCATCAGTCCACATTTACCGTAAGAGAACAGTTATGGATGAATGCTAGGGAGATTTCCAAGAACTTACTCAAGTGCTGTTTTGTAGTGGTAAATGGCTTCACGATTCCGACCTTGGTCCTTCAAAAAATTGGCATAGTTGTAGTGCACCTTGGCATTATGGGGCAGAGTTTGGACTCCTGACCTGTAAAGGAGAAACCACACAGGAACCGCAACGTCAACAGTTCTGCTTTGTATTACTGAGTTTGTGCTTGTTCACTTGACCCAGAAAGCATCAAGCAGGCAAGAAGCCTGTTGGAAAATGAGAATGCAGAAGGTTCCTAGTAGGAACAAGATGTACTCTTGTAACCACTGTGTCCTCACACGTGGTAGGTCCCTCACTTGGAACCCAACCGCCAGGCTGAAATCCTTCTATACATACATCACAGAAACCACTCCAAGAAGAGGTCAAGAAGGAAGCAGGTCTCCTGGAGGGGCTGTTCCAGCTCTGGCCACATTCAGCTCTATCCATGGGGTTGGGGGTAGGGAGGGTTGAGTGAGCTTTAGAAGACAAAGTTGCCCCAGGGATCAGCAACTAGTTGGGCATACTTGTTTTCTGTATCCAAAGGAGCTGTGGGCAGTGAGTGATGATGGAAAGGACAGCAGCTCTGGGATTCCAGCTGACATGAAAAGTAAATGTAGATGTCACTTTGCCCACAGGGGAGGAAAGACTCCCTAAAAGTACTTTAATTCATGAGTAAATGCACTGGTTTTAGACAGCTCTGCCTTCACTTTCCCTGTCATAACAGGTGTGTTCTGTTGTGTGCACAATCAGGTCTCCTGCACAGAAAGGCTTCCCCCTTGTTCCATCACTGGGGATTTCTCTGAGCATACACTTGTTGAGCTGCTTGTTTACTGGAATAAACAAGGAAGCCTCTGTGCACAGGAACACTGTGTGAACTGCACACTGGTGCATGGGATTCACAATGGAAGTAAAGGCAGAAAAGCAGGATAATCCTTTGTTTAAAGTTCTGTGATAAATGGTGTGATAAAGTTTGGTATTCACACAGTAATTTCTTAAAATAATCGGATGAGCAGATGTAAACTGAAAAATAACATAAGATGTTTATCCCTGTGAATTCTGCAGAGTGATCCTGCAAAATCCTACATATTGGCTCTTCTCGGATCTCAGAATCATCATGTGAGACCTGATCCTAAGGAATCAAAATCAGTGTAATGCAAATGAGATTTCTGAAGACTGGTGCCTGATCCATGATGGACATCATTTCCTAATTAGAAAAGGAAACAATAAATAACTGTACCCCAGCAGAGCGGGGAAAGGTGGAGAACAAATAACAAGGCAACAAAATGCTTTTTCCATTTTTACTTCCTTCTGCCTTCCAACTCAGAGTTTCCACGCATGTCTGCCCAGCATGAATTCCTAAACTCTAATATTGTTGCTTCAGAAAATACATAGCAATTGAACTAGCTGGCAGGAAAAAAACCAGGAAAAAAGAAAGAGAGATCTACTATGTTTGAGAACAATGTCTCAGTGCAATTTCCTTCCTAATTGACTACTATTATGTTTTTCAGACTACTTTCCAACAGTGTGCTGGCAAAATTGTGCCGATGTAAAATAAGGCTGATGAAGATGTTTTCATCTTTCAGGACACAGGTTGGGGTGCCAAGCAGAGAATCCACAGTACTCGCACTGAACTACAATTTCCAGGGGTGAGAAAAGCTATGACAGTAAAGCCCATGAAACCTGGATGGCATTGGAGAGACATGGGTTCACATAACACAACCAGCCACTCTGCATGGAAAGCTATGCAGTGAGGCTTATAAGTGATGCTGTCTTCAAAGAGCCTGACAGATGGTTAGACACACTGGGGTTCGGCTGCCCCCTCCCTTCGCAGTCTTGCTAGCATCCCAGGGGATGCTGCAGGGCACTCAAGTTCTCCCTCGTCCACCAGGGAGCAGTGGCAGCAAAAGCCACTGACATGCCACACCCTGGCTCACAAGGAGACCTCACAAACTGGGGTGAATGATCTCCCTCCACCTGGGTTTTGTCCTGTGCCACCACTAAATGAAGGGGCTGGCAGGAGCTTAGCTAAAGGACAACCTTGACTGTCTGGGAGGACTTGTGATTCAGCCCTACGACGCTGCTACCATCAGCCAGGTGGGCTGGCTACTGTAGTGGGTGATAGTGGGAGCCTCTTCTCCACTGGGGCTGCCATCCCAAAGCAGCTGGCTGGGGCAGCAGGAACGAGCAGCTACCTCCAGTCAGCCATGCCCACAGCTGGCTGGGCTACTCCCTGTCCTGTCCCCACCATCCCTGCCAGATGTTTCGGGGAAGATGAGATAGCTCTAGATGGCAATGTGCATAATCAGCTAGAACTACCAATACGAACTGCCCCCACAAACCCACAACAGGAAGCAGGAGCACAACTGGCAGGAAGGGACTGGACTGGCAGCACAGGATTTGCCGCAGCTGCCTTGCTTGCAAGCAAGATGGGGGCAGCAATTTCAGAGCCTCTGATAGCTCCCCCAAGTGCTGGCTGGGCACTCTGAGAGCAGCCCTCAACTGTGCTCAGCAGGCAGCCACTTGACAAGAGCAGCAGGCCTTTTTGCCAACTAGACTTGTAGTGGTTTGGTTTAACTAGGGTTTGCCGTGTTATCCAGACACAACAGCCACAAGGGGTGGCTAACAAACCCTGCAACGATCAGGATGGTTTATAAGCCAAGAAGCTGAGCTTATACGCCATCCTGAATAACTGCTGGCTGGAATGTGTGACACAATAGCCCCCTGCTCCATTGCTTATAAGCCAAGGAGGTTGTCGTGCTATACGAATCCAGTCCATGAAAGGTAGCATGAATGGGTTTTTCCTTATCTTGTGAAACATCAGCAGCACTAATACACTTTTCCATCATGATAACTTGTTTGCTGTGCAACCCCCTGTTAAACTGACTTCCACTGATCTTTCACAGGCATCCCTGCTTGGAAATAATTCTGTTTGCAATGCACAAAACCAAGGCGGGCTGCATGCACCCTCACTGGATGTTCTGCAGAGTTAACATGCAAGCTGCAAAGCAGCAAAAGGGCTCTTTTTTGTGGGGGAGAGAATAATTCCTAGTCAGCACATTTGGCTCAAGTAGCAGATTTCTTGATTAAGACGACATGATTTTTAGACAGGGTAGTCTTAAAGAGTGCGTTTTAAAGGTTTCATATGCCTCTCTGTGGAGACACACTGTCTACCAATCCATTCTCTCCTTGTTCCCCACTATAGGCTTACAGATACAGAGGTCGACATAGCCCATTTTCCAAATAATATATATTCCAGATAAGGTATAAAATATATTTTGTGCAGTCTATGTCAGTGCTGGAGTACCCATACAAAACCAGCATGCCTCCCCACTACCCCAATCCCCCCGATCAGTCCTACCTGAAAAGGGACTCCCTTGACAACCAGATTTCATTCTGCTTCACTGTTTTCCAAGAAAATAGCAGCAGCAGCAAAGCTGAGGTGGTCACTGCAGTGAATCTCCATTTATTTAGCCATGTGCAAAGCTTGTTTAAGCCATGGACCAAGAGGATGCAGTAGCCCATGCTGAAAAAGCAAACAGGATGGGGAAAGATAGTTTCTGTGTTACACTTTGCACACCATGGCCATGGTTCTTTCTGAGAGATGAGCATAACAAGCAAGAAGACAGCTCTTTTGCATGGATCATGTTCAGATGATTGTATCTCAGTTTCATAAGCTAAGATATGAATGAGCCTTTTGAATATGAATAATCAGGCCCTTGACTGTTCTTTCATTAACTTTGACAGCTAGGACAGGGCAAGACGTGGCACAGGAGTATTAAACAGCACGATGAGCTAATTCTGAAGAAGACGTGACCAAAGAGGCTGAGGAGCAGCAGGTCCATGTGATAATATTTAGCTCTGCCCTGAAAGAAGGCAAGAGTCGGGACAATCATATCTTGGCTTCAACAGCTGAATGAGTTATGATCAAGCTTTTGTCTACACATGACGCAGTAAACAAACCAGAAGGTCTTCAGTTAACCTCAGCTTCCTATTTCCTTCTGAAGCAGGAAAATATGGTTAACAGCCAGGATATTTAAACCAACTTCAAACCACGGTTTACTATCCTAATCTTATTATTCAATACATAAAATGTGATTAAAGCCATATCCGCTAAGGGCATTTGGATGAGTTAGGTGACAGCTACTTCCTCACATCCATCCATCCATCCATCCATCCATCCATCCATCCTTCACTCTCTAGCCAAAGCTTTTAGAGTGATAAACATAATAAAAGCAATTAAAATAAACACATTAAAGTGATTGTCTTAAAATAGCAGCTGACAAATGAATGCATACTCAGAGCTGGCAAGAAGGGCAAGCGCTGACTGGGAACCTGCCAAGGGCCCATTCTCCAGCATGGAGGAAGCCCACGGGCAAGAGCCCCCTGGGCCCACTCCTCCTCACCACTGTCCAGTGCCTCTCTGGCTTTAGCCCAGGCAACAGTGGTGGTGCGGAGGGGCAGGGGCAGCCCCCTGCCTCCTTGCTTCTGGGCTCTCTGCCTGCCAAGCAGGCAAGGAGCATCAGTGAGGAGGAAGAGGAAGAGAAGCTGCAACCGGTGACAGCGGTGGTGGGAAGGCTGACTCCCTGAGGGAGGGCGCCCACTGCCATCTTCCAGGTGACTTCCAGAATCTGGAACTGGCAGTGGCTACCTATGCACACAGACACCACTTTGGACAGCGTAACATTTCCACTTCCTGACACAGTTTGGAAATGGGGCTCAGCGTGTATGTCACCCCAGATCAAACAGTGCCTCAGAATATTGTTCAAAGATGCCACATTTTGCCCTCAGCAGAGAGATTTTAAACCTGGAGGAAGCAAGGAACCTTTTTATAGTCAGGGAGCTCGGCACTGCCTCTCAAACTGGCCAAACAGTCAGACTTCAGCCCCTTCCAATCAGCTATTTTTCCAGATTCATGTCACCTTTACAACAAGGCTTCCCACAGTTATTAGGAAACACATTTCCTACAAGGAGCTCATTGTGGTATCTGTGGGCACTTCTTGTTTCATCCAAACAAGTGTCTGCGGTAAGTTCAGCTGAGTAAAGAACTTCCCAAAAGCTGCCTTGCCAGCCTCACGGCCTTGCAGGGAATCAAGCCCAGTTCTTTCAGCTCCACGCTGAGAGCTCCATCTGCAAACGCCATCAGACTTCCTCTATCTGGCACCTTCCAGTGCGTCAGATGCAGTCCCCGCCATCCCCAGCCAGACCAGGAAACCTGGGAGTTACAGTTCAACCAGGGCTCCTATCAAGGACAGATGTGACTGGGCAAAACTTGGAAATTTGATGGGAGTTGTAGTCCAACTCATCTGAAGGGTACTGCCCTGGGAAGGCTGTCCTAAAGTTTGATTCACTGTTGCACCAGATTCTTGTTCAAATGGTTTACTGTCCCTCCCCCATGGAAATACCACAGTTAAAACAGCAGCAGCAACAATAACATATTAACTGGCTTTGGGCACAATCCTATGCATGTTTAGGCAGAGAAAAGTCCTACAACTCCCAGCATGCCCCATGACCCAGCAGGCACTACCATTATTTATGAACTTTTTAATGTACTGCCATTTTAATCCGAGTAGTTTGTGCAAATTGTAATCTTGTGCAAATTTTGTGTAATCTTAGCTTTTTAATGTAAATTGCTTTGAATTTGTTAAGAGATGGTGTATATAAGATTTTAAATAATTGAACTTGCAATTATCTAAATTCGGCAAGTCAATATTACCTTAGGAAACAATGTGCTCATAATGCTCTTAGGAAATTAAAAAAGTTACACTGAACCTCTGGGCTTAGTTTTTTTTAATTACGATGAAACTGTTCTTTTATAAGATATTAATGTGCAGCTGTAAGTTATTATACAAGAGCATTGTCTGCAAATCTGTCCAAACACTGAACCTGTCTTGCATACGGCCAAAATGTTATCTCATCAACTTCCCAAGTCCTGTATGCTATTAGTAAACAGCCTATACATAACACACCACAAGATAATTCGTTTTTATTCTCTAAAGTTCCTTGGTTTTTCTTCCAGTGCGTTCATTTTACTGCAATGACATTTCATTGTTTTGCACTTATAATCTTGACTCTGTGAAATCAAAAGCTTTTAAAAACTTTTTTTGGTTTCTCTTCAGACATTAACAGGCAAACAAGCAAATATTTGACTCTGGATAAGAAAAACCTCAAAGCAAGGATACTTCTTATGCACTGGAGCTTGCAATGTTCTATGTGTTTGGAACTCTAAAGGAAGAGGAACTAATTAATACTAATGGAAAATTTGCATTATTTCCTCCTTTTTCTTAAATAGGAAAACTGCTTCCCACACGCCTCTTGCGGGGCACTTTTCTCCATGCAATTACTCCCGAACCTGCTTGTGCATAAGGCCACATAGTAGTTGACTGAGCAAATTACAGGTATGCTCAGCAGTTTTTATGCAAACATGCCCCTTCCGCCAGTCACATATCATGTCCCTTCACACCATCATCATAGACACAGAGATGCTCAGAAGGCAAGAAATTTCCATGATGGCATTATTTGTTGTAGCTGGAATTATAGGTCAGTGACTTCATCCTGGCTCTCCTTGTAACCCTGTGCCCATGATTTGTGGATCTGAAGCCCACAATCCTACCTGTGACTGAAGGGAAGAGTACCCTGCACTTTTAGAACTCAGTGGCAGAGAAGCCCCAGGCTCACTCCCGCCTTTTCTGGTTTTGAGACAGCAGGGCTCAGAAAGACTACATTGGCTTTCTGCCAATTACAAGAGATAACTATGGATTCGCACAAAATAAATAAACTACCACAGTGTGATCTGCTCTTGCTCAGGGTTCCAGATAGTCAATCAGTCCTTTTCCAAAATATCTCTTTCCATTTCCAAAATGAACTAAGAATTCTGTAGCCACCAGACATTGAGCAGTTTTGGGGTTTATTATTATTTTATTTCTCCCAATATTGTTCTCTGGTTGATAGAGCTAAATCACAAATATTTCTTACGAAATAGCAATAGAATAACACTAATCAAACAGCATGTAATAAAACAAGGATGAAACTAACAATATGGAATTAGAACCATGCAGCGTATCATAATACCAAAGCAAAACCAGCGGCAAAAATAAGCCAGTACAAAGAACTGAAAGCACTAAATCGCTTCCTCGGGTTCTTAAAATTCCTTCCTTAGGCATTTTCTCCTCCTAGTTCTTTTGGTACTTCCCCAAATGTTTGGCTTCTCCCAGACCTGCTGTTAGCTTCTTATTTTGCCTGAACAGTGCCATTTTGATTACACAAGGATTGGCATTACTAAAATCAAAATTACTTATTGGCATAGAGCACAGGTGTGCAACCATCCACCCCAGGTTGTACATGGCCTGCAAAGGCTGTCCATCCAGGAGCAAAGGTCTGAGCTGTTTCTATGGACCACACCTATTCCCCCTTCCACTCCCCCAGCCTGGAAGCTATCGGGGCTCTGAGCCAAGAAGCACAAAGGAATCTTCTTGTTATCCCCAATTACAGATCAGAGACAACAATGGGATTCCTCTAGGTGGATTGGGCTGGACTCAGACTACAATTCACTTTGCATTTGTAAAAAAAACTATTCCCTTGATGTCATTCAAGCCTAGACAGGGAGTCATCTACTCCTATATCTCCTTACAATCACCTTCCCTTGTTGCATAGGATAGTTGGATTTGGTCAAAGATAACTTTGTACATTCCTGCACAAGTTCTTGTCTATGTACATACACCTTAAGGGAGCACTCTCGTGCATGATTACGATATTACGAAAAAGTCCCACAATCCCCAGCTTTTTTGTAAGCATGCATCAAACAGCACTTGAAGTCTTCCAAGTGCCACAGTTCTCCCATTAGAGAGCCAGTGGGGTGTAGTGGTTAAGAGCGCAGCTCTGGGACTCAGGCAATCTGGATTCTAATCTGGGTTCTAGTCACTGGGTGACTTCAGGCCAATCACAGTCTCTCATCCCAACCTACCTCACAGGGTTGTTGTAAGGATAAAACTGGGGGGAGGAAAAAAATTATGTAAGCTGCCTTGAGTTGCTTGAGTAAAAAAAAAAAGGTGGGATACAAATACAATTAATTACTGCAGCAACCAAATCATATAGGGCCCTTTACTCAGCTTCATCTCAATGGACCATGAGCAATCACAGGTGTGGTGAGGAAAGGGGGACCTGGCCAGCAAGGTGCATATCTGAACTGATCCCCTGAGTAAGGAAAAGAGGCAGAGCTCGTACCAACTCAAATTCTTCTGGGATGCACAGGGCACCTCCACCAAAACCCAGCTGCACCTTATACTTCTGATTTGGCACAGGTAGCTCTGGAAAAGGCAAGCACCTTTGATAACTCTGTAAAAAAGGAAAGAAAGGCAGCTACTCGGTCAATCCAGTCTGCTACCACCCTGCCACTCTATGCCTGGACAAAAGCAAAAGTTCTCTAAGCAAGTGGATTGGGAGAATTGGATACACTGAATGGGTGCCTTTAATTCCTGCAAAGATCAAGGATGCACAGCACTTTTTCCCAGCAGGAAAGGCCAAAAT